CTCGTGTTTTGGTCGATCGTAGAGCCGAGGTCTCGCTGCCCGGGCGGGTCTCGAACCCGCGGGCTCAGGCCATCCGCTCTCAGCCTGCCGAAGGCGCGGGATTCCAGGCTGAGCCGCCGAGCCCGGCTGGGATTTTCACGAACGGGAGGGGCATTGGTGGGGAGGGGTCACAGCACACCCGGACGCCAACAGCAAAGGAGGACAGCCTGCCCCCTCCAGCCCCCCACGAGGGCGGGGAGGGCCGGTCCAGCCTTCTGAGCGCTGCGCCTTCCCCTCCCCCCGCAGGTGCTGGGCCTGTCCCAGGGCAGCGTGAGCGACATGCTGTCCCGGCCGAAGCCGTGGAGCAAGCTGACGCAGAAGGGGCGGGAGCCTTTCATCCGCATGCAGCTGTGGCTCTCAGACCGGCTGGGCCCGGCCGCCGCCCCACAGCCCAGCGCCACGCAGGGTGAGTGGCGGCCCAAACTGGGGGCCGCCCCCTCCCAGTCCCAGTCGGGGCTGCGCGTCCGCCACTCTTCTCCCGCTGCTTCTCCTCCCGCTGCCCGCTGTCCCGGCCCGGCCAGGCCCAGGAGACGCAGCGGCTCCCAGCCGGCCTCTGCCACCGAGACGCTTCTCGGCCGGTGTGTCTGGCACACCCGTCCGGGCTTCGAGCCTCTACCGGGCGCCAGTCCGGAGCAGGAGAGGAACACGGTGACCCTGGTCCCACCTGGAGTTGCCCCTTGGTCTCAGCTGGTTCCCAAGATCCAGCACGTGGCCTCAGAATCCGTAGCACAGGGCCCCGAGCTGCTGGCTCCCACCCCTCCACGAGGGCCTCAGCAGACTGGCGTCCGAGCTTTGCAGAGTGAGGAAACTGAGGCTGGGAGTCACCCTCAGTCACAGAGCTGGGCGATGGGTGTGAGAGCCCAGGTTGCCTCCCCTGTGACCAACGAAGGACAGGTCGTGGGACACCACCTTGGCGGCAGGTGGCTGCAGGGCCAGGACATGAGATGAGACCGCCCACTGAGAGGGGCAGAGATCTGGAGGCGCCGGGGAGTCCCAGGACCTGAGTTCAGTCTTTCCCGTGTGTACAGTCGGTATCACTTGGTAGGACAGAACCACGTCTCGGGTTCACAGAAACAAGCCAGACCAGAAGCACACACCAAGACCGGGACGGCAAGTGACAAAAGCCAAAGTCCCAGTGACAGTGTTTACTTTAGAAATGGCCGGACAGGGTGGCTCACACCTGTCATCCCAGCACCTTGAGAGGATTGCTTGAAGCCAGGAGTCCAAGACCAGTCTGGGCAACATAGCGAGACTCTGTCTCCATTTTAAAATAAGAACAGCCAGGCACAATGGGTCGCCCCTGTAATCCCAGCACTTTGGGAGGCCGAGGCGAGAGGATTGCCCGAGCCCACGCGTTCAGGACCAGCCTGGACAACTTGACAAGACCCTGTCTCTACAATAAATCAGAAAATTAGCTGGGTGTGATGGCACACATCTGTGGTCCCAGCTTCTTGGAAGGCTGAGGTGGAAGGATCTTCTGAGCTCAGCGGGTCGAGGCTATGGTTAGCCATGAGCATGCCACCGTACTCCAGTCTGGGCACCAGAGTGAGACTCCAGCTCAAAAAAAAATAGATAAAATAAGAAAGAGATTAACGCTCACAGGTCAGCTCCCTATACAGATGTGGCCCTGTGGCCAAGGGCTTATGCACTAAAACAGAGAGGAGACAGCCCCCGCCGGGGAGAGGGAAGGCCCTGGGAAGGAGGCGGCCCGTGAAGCAGTTAAGGTGCGTGGGTCCGAGGAGAGGAGGACTTACATTTCCATATCTCTGAAATATAATTTTATAAGTACAGTTTTTAGCTTAAAGCCTCTGTTCTGTGAGGACGTGGTGGCTCTCACCTGTAATTCCAGCACTTTGGGAGGCTGAGGCGAGAAGACTGGCTGAGCCTAAGGGTTCGCGACCAGCCTGGGGAACTTGGCGAGACCTCGTCTCTACAAAACATCAAAAGAATTAGCCGGGCATGGTGGTGCACCCCTGTGGCTCCAGCTAATTGGAAGGTTGAGGCAGGAAGGATCGCCGGAGCCCAGCAGATCGAGGCTGTGGTGGCCATGAGCGTGCCCCTGCGCTCCAGCCTGGGCGGCAGAGTGAGACTCTGACAAATAAATAAATAGCAAAGCCCCTGTTCGCTGGGCTGCTGTGAGAACCACGGGCGCCAGGCGGTAACACTGCTGTGTGTCGTGCAGGCACTGAGGTCCCCTGCCCCTCTCTCCTCGTCACTTGCACCCAGAGGGACAGCTCGCTGCTCCCATTTCAGAGATGAGGAAGTCGTGGGCAGCACAGTGCGGGGACACGTGGGGCCGCCAGCCAGTGAGTGACCAAGCCAGGGTGAGTCCCCCGGGCTGTCGCCAGCAGCCCCCGGGCTGTCGCCCCTGCCCCCAGGGCCTCGAGCACCTGCCCCAGAGCCTGCTGTGAAAGGGTCTCCATCCTTTTTTGTTGTGTTGCGTTTCAGCTGATTATTTCACTGTGGTAAAATTCACCTTACATAACACGTACTTTTTTAGCCATGTTCAAAGTATGCAGTCCAATGCCGGGCTCGGTGGCTCAGCCTGTAATCCCGCGCCTTTGGGAGGCTGAGGTGAGTGGATTGCCCGAGCCCACGGGGTCAAGACCCGCCTGGG